TTCAAAAGTTGTACTACTTCTTTAAAAAGAGAAAAACTGACTCAGATTTAAACTTGAAGAAACGCTGATATTGCAAAAGTTAAGGCTGATTCCCATTATCCCATTTTTCTAATTCATAAAAATCTTAAACAAATCCTTCATACTTTCCATTTAATGTCTTTGCACTTGTATTTTAAACTTTAAACTATTTTTACAATTATTTATTTTTGTGTGTTGTACGTGTATGGGTCACACATGCCACTGTGTGTGTGGAGATAAGGGAACAACTTTCAGTAGCTGAGTCTCTTTCCACCTTGATGTGGGTTTGGGGGACCGAGCTCAGATCGACAGGCTTCCTCAGATCGACAGGCTTGCAGGAGACAGCCTTCATCCACTGAGCCATCTTACCTCACAGACTTACACAAAGGATTACATAAGGCAACATTATAAAATACAAATATGCCAAGTTTCATTGTCTTTAATAAAAGACCAGCTGACAATCCAGTAAGTCCAGTACTGGGTATACATCCAAAGGGAAGGAAATTAGTATTGAGAGACACTGGTATCCTGTGTTTATTGCAGTACTACTCACAACAACCAAAAAACAATAGCAGTTTAAATGTCTACCAACTGCTGAATGAATAAAGAAAATGTGTCATATCTATAACAGTATTACTGAGTTAAAGGATGAAATCTTGTCATCAACGACAACATGGATGAACCTGCAGTACATTATGTTAAATGTTAGTTACAGAAGACAAATATCACATGATCTCACTCTTACACAGAATCTTAAAAACTGGATTTCATGGAAACAGAGAGTAAAGCAGTGGTTACAAGAGGTTGGGGAGATACACGGGAGGGACAGGAAAAGGTCAGTTACAATTTTGATGCTGCTCATAGTGAGGTGAGTGCAGATAACCGCAGTTATCTCTATTTCAAAGAAGCTAGGGTTTTCAATGTTCTCACCACATATACAAAAGACAAATACTGGAGGAGTTGAGAAAGGTCACCTCGATTTGAATGTTACATAATATATGCATATAGTATACATGTATATATTAAAGCATCATATAGTACCCCATAAGTACATATAACTATGTGCCGATTAAAAAAACCAAAACAAGCCGGGTGGTGGTGGCACACACCATTAATCCCAGCACCGGGAGGCAGAGGCAGGTGGATCTCTGTGAGTTCGAGGCCAGCCTGGTCTACAGAGTGAGTTTCAGGAAAGGCTCCAAAGCTACACAGAGAAACCCTGTCTCAAAAAACGAAATAAAACAAAACAAAAAAAAAATCAAAATGAGGCAGGGGAGATGGTTCAGTGGGTAAAGGTGCTAAGCACTAAGTCTGACAAGCCAAGCTCAATCTTCAGAACCCATATGGTAAAAGGAGAGGACCAATTCCCCAAAAGTGGCTCTGACCTCCACACATGTGAGCCACACATACAAATATACACACTAAATAAACGAAGTGCTTTTTGTTTTGTTTTGTTTTTCAAGACAAGGAGACAAGGTTTCTCTGTGTAGCCCTGTCTGTCCTAGAACTCTCACTGAAGACCAGGTTGGCCTTGACCTCACAGAGATCTGCCTGCCTCTGCCCCTCAAGTGCTGGGATTAAAGGCATGTGCCACCACTGCCCAGCTAAAGAAATACTTTTTAAAAAAAGATAAAATAGCTGGGTTTGGTGGCACATAGCTGTAATCCCAGCACTTGAGAGATTGAGGCAAGATCCAGAAGTTCAAGACCAGTATTCAGGACATGAGATCCTGACTCAAAACAAAACTAAGTAAATGATAAACTAAAAGAAAAAGCCAATAGAACCAAGGATATCTATGAGATGTCTCAGAGGGTAGAAAGTGCTTGCCATGTAAGCCTGAGTTTGATCCCCTAGAACCCACAGGGGAAGGGAACTTCAAAGCTGTCCTCTGACCACACACACACACACACACATCCCTGCCAAAAGCATGTGTGCAGACACAGTAACAAATTATTTTTCAAAGACCCAAGGATTACTTAGATAAGAGATATATAAATAAAATCTTGAATGTTTTGTTTCTTGTTTTTGAGACAGGGCCTCATGTAGCCTAGGATGAGATGATCTCAGACTTGCTGCAGCTAAACTCTGGGACCACAGGTGTATGCTCCCATGTCTGGTTTATGATGTACTAGGGACTGAACCTAGCCAAACATTCTACCTGACAGAGCTACATTTCCAGTCTCATTAATAAAATGTTAAAGGAAACATTATAAAACCAAGTATGAAGCACACTTGTAATTCCATCATTCAGAAGGCAAAGGCAAATCCAGCTTGGACTACTAGCGAATCCCCATCTCAAAATAACCCAGAAGCAAAAGCAAACAACAACAAAGATAACATCAGGATTCTAGTTTCAGTACATTAAAAAGATGATAAAAGAGAAAATACAGCCAGGTGTGGTTAGTGCCACCCATGATCCCAGCACTCTGGAAAGGGGAGGATATTTATGAATTCATAGCCAGCCAGAGCCACACAGTAATACCAGTCTCAGAAAGAAAAAAAAAAAAAAAAAGCAGGGGGAGAAAGTCATGTGATGGACAATGAATTAACTTATTTAAAATTTTTGAAGGGTACAGTTACTCTATAATAAAATGACTATTCGGTGACCCATCTTTACCAGTCAATGTCAGTGCCCTTTACCATATTCTGTGACTATTATTTTGGCAGCTAATCCTCAAACCTAAAAATTATTATAATTTTGTGAATACTTAAATCACACCACTTTCTATATTACATATCTGGATTTATACTCCTTCCCATTTACTTCTTTTCATACTTGTCTCCAAACAGCCAAATCTCGAAACATTAGTTCTAAAGTCCATGAACTTCTAAACTTGACCCATGTTAAGGTCAAAAGATTTGCAATTCTAAGTTTACTACATATTATTGAGTGAATATTATTCATATATCAATCTACATAATTATATCAAAGTTCCGCTGAAAACTGTTTAATCAAGTAAACGTGCAATTCTTTTTTTAATTTTTTTTTTTTTTTGGTTTTTCGAGACAGGGTTTCTCTGTGTAGCCCTGGCCGACCTAGAACTCACTCTGTAGCCCAGGCTGGCCTCTGCACTCAATCCTCCTGCTGCTGCCTCCCAAGTGCCTGAATTAAAGTCGTGCACTACCACCACCAGGCTAAACTTGCAATTCTTATTTCTCAATTTTAATTTAATTCAAGGACACTATAGCTTTCTGACACTAGGAAAACAAAATAAGTAACTACCTGTGCAAATTAATTAGTATAGGACTAATCTGTGAAAGAAAATTGCTTGACTTACGGAAAGTAGTTAAGTGCCAAGTAAAAACTAATTCAAACCAAACCATTCAGCACATCTTTATCTTTGGCTGGAAAAGCTGCCCTAGCTGTGACATTAAATGAAAACAGTTTATCGAGCTTTAAACTACTGGGAGATTTGGCAGCTGGTTCACTCAGCTAAAGCGGCTGTTACTGGCTCATACCACCAAGTGACAGAAGCGGAACTGGAGCAAAGATTCTAAAGTGAAGGCCAGATACAAACCAAATCATTCAGGGATTTCTTTTTCCTTGCAAAATGCATCTACCTCCTTTATACCAAGATTCTAAAGGGAGGCATAGATAAAATATATGCGTGTGTCCCCTTTTTTAAAAACTAAAAAAACCTTCTGGACTATTTTTGAGATACCTCTATCTTCACAGAGACTTCTCAAAGTAGGTCTGACTCTTTTGTGTGACTGTGTATGTATGTGGTGTGTGGCTGCTGTGTGGGTGCACACATGGGCAGGTGAGTATGCAGGTGAAGGCCAGAGGTTGATGCCACTGTCTTCCCATCCACTCTCCACCTTACATACACTGAGGCATGCTCAGCTGACCCAGGGCTTGCCAGTTTGATTGGTCCAATAGACAGCTTGCACTGGTGATTCCGTCTCTGCCTCCTAAGTGCTGGGATTATGGACTGGCCACCAACACCCGTCTGGCATTGATGGGGGTCCTGGAGATCCCTTTTTGAAAGTACTATATTAACAGCGAGCATAAGAAACAGAGCTAGAAAAGGGACAAGCTCATGAGAAGTCTGTGGCAGCAGAGAACTGGATAAACAGTAGGTGTAAACCATCTTCACAGATTTCTGTGCCAGCGCTCACTAGAATCCACTATATTACATTTTAGACACTGAGAAGTATTCAGTTCCTGTAATGGGAAAAAGTACATGGTCTACTAACCAGGTAAAAGTGTACAAGGAAACTATTCTGGGGGTGGGGAAAGGAAACAAACAATGACACACAAAAATTCTGCTGCTCTGGCATTAAAAGAACAGCAAAATACTGTTTTGTGTAGCTGACAATACAACTTGGTTGAGGCTTCTGTCCATATTTTATCATTTTAGTTTTTAATTGTGTAGTACTGTGTTTTTCTATAATAAAGCTTAGTCAGGATGAAAATCATTCTAGAACTTAATATACTACAATATATTTGACAATAAGATGTCAAAGCTGTATACTAACAGCAATGAAACAAATCCATACTGCCTACTGAGACAGCTTTTGGGACTGGCTGTGGTGGCACAGGCCTTTAACCCCCATACTTAGGAGGCAGAGGTGGGTGGATATTTGTGAGTTCAAGGCTTGCCTGGTCTACACAGTGAGACTGGAAAAAAAAAAGACAGCTTAAGAGTTATATTAAAAAACAAAACTTTCAAGATCCATTTTGAAGCAAGCAATATTTTCTTACAATCAATGTTTCAAATTACTAACAAACAGCTTTGACACAGAAATCACAATCTCTTATGATTTATAAATAATCATCCAGCCACTATTAGATGATAATTTGGGATAGTGTTTCTTAAACTATTTGGTAATTCCCTACTGCCTGTTCGATTTCTGGCATTCTACAATGACACCTACTGGCCACTGAAAATCAGCCATTAGTTCTCTAAGATAGCTAGAGTAGGCTGGTTACATAAGAGAAACACACAGAAACACACACACTCTCTCTTAAATCAACCTACCTAAAGGCAAAGATTTGTTTCCAGGTATGGAAAGCATTATAGCATTTCACCTAAAGCAAAAATATGAGTTTTCTTTGTGACTAAGATAGCATTATTCTTGTAAAAAGACAAAAGACAAGGAACAAAACACAAATATTTTTAAATTTTACTTAAAGCACTAACAAATACCTCAGTGCACTGGACGTTTCAAAACAAATTCTAACTACCCATTTCTTTTCAAATGATATTCTGAGAGGAAAAAAACCCAAAATTCTCATTTTATATGTACTAACATAAATGATCAATAGCAGAAAAAAAAAATCAGATCTTAGAAAGTTTTCCTGACATGTAGTTCAAAAACAAGCCCAGAAAGACACTTCCTGATACTACATTTATCCTCATCTTCTAACTTGAAGGCAGCACCTCAAGCAGCTTACATTTCAGTAATTTACAGTGCTGCTTTTTAAAATATTTTCCAGTCTTTTAAGGTTAGTTTTCCAATGAATTACAAAATCAAATGCCCTTCCACAATACACACCGACAGGAGTTTGTTTCTCTTGGTACTGTATTTCACCATTCAAACTGTGAATTTAAAAGACTTCTCAAAACAAAATACTCTTTAAATTGTAAATACATTTTTATCTAAGTCTAAGACATTCAAAGACCTTATGTTTTAAATCTAAGAAACAACTCACAACTAGCTTCTCAGACTTAACAAAGCAAATCACTTAAAAGATGACAATCCTCTGTTTAGACTCCCATCTTATTTTCACAGTCCTTAGCATCCAAACATTGGGGGCAAGTTGTCTACCAACTAATTTACCGTTCCTTTTCTAATTTGCATTTACCTTCCTCCATAGATTTGTAAGGCTCCCCACTTGTCTCGGGGTTAGACATTCTATCAGTTTTGAGCTGCAAAGCAGCAAATTCGTGTACTACAAAGGCGTTCATCTCAAGCTAACGTCGTGTCGTTTCTCAACCCAAGTCCTTATTTGGGATGAGCGCTTCGTGACTACTCTTGCCTTCATGCCGTCCTCCTCCTACAGAGCCTGCCTGGGTAGAACACACTGAAGCCACCAATACCAAGAAAGTGTTCGCAGGTATCAATGGGTTGCAAGGGCTCCTCTCCCACGAGGGTCAGTCGAGTTGTTTGGGACAATCATCGCCAAGGGTTACATAATGTACAGCCACTAGTTTCTAGACCTGACCACCAATACATACCTTTTCTTCTCCGCACCGCTCCCTATCCCAAAGAAGCGGCCCTAAGAGCAACCCCGAGGATTTCACTCAGGTGTCCTTCTCTTGCCTGAGGCTTCCTGCAAGAAATCCCTTCAGCCCCCACTACCTGTGCCTTGCTCCCGCCTCAGCCCGCGCCACCGACACCCTCACGCCCTTGCTCGGCCCCCAAAGTCGCCCCACAACACTCAGCCCCAACCCGCCTCGGCAGCCGCCTTCTGCTCACGACCCTCCCGACGAGCTGGCTCCCAGGTCTGCAGGGCTCGGGATCCGCCAACCGTCCGGCTGCCGCCTCTCCGGCACACCTTCGTCAGCTCCCGGCTACCGCGTCCGCGGCCGGAGAAGAAAACCCTCTCCCCCCCCCCCCCCGGCACTGTGCGCGGCCCCCCCCGCCTCGGACGGCACCGCCGCCTACCTGTCACCCCGCAGCCTCAGGCTTCCTACCGCCACCGCCTCCCGCAGCAGCCTGCCAACTGCAGCATAACAACCAGCCCTCTCATTGAGTGGGCCCACGCGCTTAATAACAGCCGCTCCCATTGGCTGCGCCACGGCCTTGGCCCGCCCCCCCCGTCGGTACGCCGCCTAAAGATTCCGCCCGGGAGCAAGGGGAAAAACACGGCTTCCCTACCCTTCTCCTCGGCGCCTCCTAGCTCAGTCGGCTCCCGGCTGCAAAGCGTGGGAAACAATATCAACTTCCAGGCTCCCGCAGGTCGTCTCTACCTTGTCTGGGAGCTTTGCGCCCGGACCGGAACGCTTATAAGATCTCCTCCGCGTTCCTGCCGTAAGGAACTCGAGGAGACAACGTCCGTTTCCGGTTGGCTCCAGCTGGAAGGTTGAACCTTGAGTGTCTTGAGAGGTCAGATTGCTGTCAGGTAATTTAGGGAGTTTGGTGGGAGACCTCTGGATGAGGAGTAATCGAGACTGTATTCAGGGAAGTGCAGAAGGGAGCGTGCTGAGAGGGAGCAGCGCTGACCGGGAGGAGGGGGGAGCGCTGCCGCCAAGTACAGCCGAGCTGAGCGGAGGCGGATGGAGGATGCCGTGAGAATTGCTGGTTAAATCCCAAAGATGCCCCCTCACCCTCATCCCCCGCCGCCGCCGCCACCACATGCAATTGTCTCCTCGCCTCCTGGCTTTTGGGGTTGTGTTTGGATAAAGAACAGCTCCCGATCCGACAGTACTTAAACTAGAAAAGTCCCAACGGATGCCTCACAAAATCATGTCTATTGCATATTCCTAGGGTTGAGGATTGGGGTCCTAAAGTAATAGCATTTCATTTGTCTTTATTTTCTTATGTTTCTATGGTCACCTCAGTTTCTGAGTGAGGGAAATTGGAGTGATATACTTGAAAGCCCTTGGTAAAATGTAAAATTACATGTAGTGGAAGTAACATTCCTTAGGGAAAGTAAGTCAACACTTCCTGTGCGAGAACAGGCCACCTTTAGCGGAGGTTGATCATCGTCTAACTAATAAGTTGACTTCTGACATAAGCAGAGAGCGTTTACATTCTCTATAATTATATATTCGTTCTTTTTTGAATTTATTTCTTTTCTGTTCTTAAATGAGTAATTTTAAAAGTGAAATAATTTGCTGTCGTTGAGTCCTCAATGCAGTATAACTCATTTCCCCCGTTGTATGAGGAGAGAGCCACTTCCTTTAAGTTGTCCTCCGACCTTTACGTGGGCACATGTACACACAAATAAATAAGGCTTTAAATAAAGATTCTCCTAAAAATAGGAACTGGGCTTGTGCACAGGTGTGTACTCCTAGCACTTGGGGGAGAGAGAGACAGAAGGATTGAGAGTTCAAAGTCATCCTTGACTACATACCAAGTTTGAGGTCAGACTGAATTAGATAAGACTGTCTCAAGTAAATGAAACAGTGTTCATGTAAGATGGGGTGGCACTTACCCCAGTGATAAAGTTATATGTGTTTCATTCAGAAAAAAAGTCTGATAAAACATGTTCCTTGTCATATACATTCAGAAATTCTCTCAAGTAATGATGTCCAATAGAAATGTAATGGAAGCCCCATAGGTAATAGTAAATTTTCTAGCTCACACTAAAAGTAAAAACAATATCATTTAATATATTAAACATATCGCCGGGCGGTGGTGGCGCACGCCTTTAATCCCAGCACTCGGGAGGCAGAGCCAGGCGGATCTCTGTGAGTTCGAGGCCAGCCTGGGCTACCAAGTGAGTCCCAGGAAAGGCGCAAAGCTGCACAGAGAAACCCTGTCTCGAAAAACCAAAAAAAAAAAAAAAAAAAAAAAAAAAAAAAAATATATATATATATATATATATATATATATATATATATATAAAACATATCATCATTTAAAGATATACTGGGAAGCCAAGCATGGTAGCATGTGTAGCGCATGCCTTTAGTCCTAGCACTTAGGAGGCAGAGGCAGATGGATCTCTGAGTTCAACACCAGCCTGGTCTACAGATCAAGTTCCGGAACAGCCAGGGCTACACAGAGGAACCTGTCTTGCGCACACTCTATCATTAATGAATATTCTACATTTCATACTGCTGTGGGATGGTCTGTATGTCAAGTGTGTTGCTGATTGGTCAATAAATAAATCACTGATTGGCCAGTGGCCAGGCAGGAAGTATAGGCGGGACAAGGAGGAGAATAAAGCTGGGAAGTGGAAGGCTGAGAGAGAGAGACACTGCCAGCAGCCACAATGAGAAACAGCATGTGAAGATGCCGGTAAGCCACGAGCCACGTGGCAAGGTATAGATTAATAGAAATGGATTAATTTAAGCTGTAAGAACAGTTAGCAAGAAGCCTGCCACGGCCATACAGTTTGTAACCAATATAAGTCTCTGTGTTTACTTGGTCGAGTCTGAGCGGCTGTGGGACTGGCAGGTGAGAGAGATTTGTCCTGACTGTGGGCCAGGCAGGAAAACTCTAGCTACATCATACTGTCTTAAAAATGTTTGTACTAGGGCTGGAGAGATGGCTCAGAGGTTAAGAGCACTGACTGCTCTTCCAGAGGTCCTGAGTTCAATTCCCAGCAACCACATGGTGGCTCGAAACCATCTGTAATAAGATCTGGTGCCCTCTTCTGGCCTGCAGTCATACATGCTGTATACATAATAAATAAATAAATCTTTAAAAAAAAAATGTTTGTACTAGATAGATAGATAGATAGATAGATAGATAGATAAACTCTAGCTACATCATACTGTCTTAAAAATGTTTGTACTATATAGATAGATAGATAGATAGATAGATAGATAGATAGATGTAGATATATATAGTATATACACGTGTATTATTTTCATAAATATAAATATTGGGTCTGTGTTTGTGTTTTATAAGTTTTATAATGTATAATGTAAAATACATTCAGGGTTGGGGATTTAGCTCAGTGGTAGAGCGCTTGCTAAGGCCCTGGGTTCGGTCCTCAGCTCCAGAAAAAAAAAAAATACATTCATACACCCAGATAATTCCAAAGATCCTTTAGTATTTTCTTATAATTGATTTTAGAATTTGCTTTGATACTTGCTATTCTTCCAGAGGACCTGAGTTCACTTCTTAGCACCCACACCAGACAGCTCACAATCACGCATTTTATTACTTCAGCTCCAGGGAATTCAAAACTCTCTGGTTGCCCCCATGCACATCTCTCTCTCTCTCTCTCTCTCTCTCTCTCTCTCTCTCTCTCTCTCTCTCTCTCTCTCTCTCTCTTTTAAAAAAGAATTTATTTTGAAATTTAAATTAATTAAAATTCCCAGTTCTTTAGCTACATAGCCACATTCCAAATGTTAGTGGCTACCTAACAAGAGAGCACAGATCCAGGAGAGGAAGTGGTGGCTGTAGGTATTCAAATTTTTTTTTTTTTCCCTGAGACAGCGTTTCTCTGTGTAGCCTTGGCTATCCTGGAACTTGCTCTGTAGACCAGGCAGGCCTTGAACTCAGAGATCCACCTGCCTAACCCCCCCCCCCCCCCAGTGCAAGGTTTAAAGACATATGCCACCAGACCCAGCAAATGTTCTATTTTCTAGGTCATGCCAGTTTTTTCAGAACAGTTGTGCTCAGTCATAGCCTTACTACTTGGATGTGAAAATGGAAGGCACAATACAGTGTGTTCTCTGCATTTCTCAGTCTTGCAGGGTTGATTTTTTTAGCCTTGTTATGTGAAGAAATGGAAGTCCAGAAAGATGAAGTGATTCTCTTGTATTTTATAGCTATTAGTGGTTTAAAAAACGATAATTTTAAACTCTTCCATCAAACATTTGAGATTTTATTGTTTGATTTATGGCTATTTTGAAATAACAGTAATCCCAGCACTCCAGAGGCAGAGGCAGGAGGATCTCTGGGACTGAGTTTCAGGACAGCCAGAGCTACCCAGAGAAACTCTACCTTGAAAAACAGACGAAAGGTGGGGAGAGGGAGTTATCTAGGTGTTTTTAGGAGAAGGCTTCTGAGACTAGCATGCAACCTTGAAATACTAATTACAGCTTTGACTGTCTTCTTATCTTCAGGAAGTTACTGCTTAGAGTCTCATTGTCTTCATCTGTAAAAAGTGGTTTGCTTGTTTTTTATTTTGTTTTGATTTGGTTGGGTTTTGTTTTTGTTTTGTTTTTTTCTCGTTTGTTTATTTTGTGAGACAGAGTCTCTCTACATAGTCCTGGCTGTTCTGAAATTCACTATGTAGACCAGGCTGGCCTAGAAGAACTCAGAGATCTGCTTGCCTTTGCCTCTGGGATTAAACTTGTGAGCCACCAGGTCTAGAAAAAAAAAATCTGTATTTTTAATTTAAATTCAAAGTTGTTTAGGAAGCAGTACAGTTAATACCTATAAAGTCTCATGTACCTGGCACATAAAGGCTCAGTAAGTGTTTACTGTTACAATAAGTAGTAAGCAGGTATCTGAGTGGTGGGATTACTCACTGTTTTCATTTCCATATTTTGTATATGTGTATTTCCTAACTGTGAGCATACACTCATTATGTAATAGTATACTTTTTTTTTTTTTTTTTTTTTTTTTTTTTGGTTTTTCGAGACAGGGTTTCTCTGTGTAGCTTTGCGCCTTTCCTGGAACTCACTTGGTAGCCCAGGCTGGCCTCTAACTCACAGAGATCTGCCTGGCTCTGCCTCCCGAGTGCTGGGATTAAAGGCGTGCGCCACCACCGCCCGGCGTATACTTTTTTTGTTTTGTTTTTTTTTTGAGACAAAGTCTCACTATGTCGCCCTGGCTGGCCTGGAAGTCACAGAGCTCTGTCTGCCTCTTCCTCCCAAGTGATAATAGTATACTTTTATAAAAGCTTTCTACTCAGCATTTTCAGGTATTTGTCTTTTTTCAAAACATTCCACTTGAAATGTAAACATCAAATTGGCTGTTGGATATCTACAACCTCTGTCTCTCTTCTTTACTTTTTTCCTATAGACATGGCAGCTGGGCATGGACACGATCACGGACACGGACATGGACATGGTCATGATAAGTTGGTACTTCCAGATTACAGACAGTGGAAAATAGAAGGGACGCCATTAGAGACTGTCCAGAAGAGGCTTGCTGCACGAGGCCTCAGGGACCCGTGGGCTCGGTAAGATGAGTCTAGAAACGTCTTCTTGTTTTGAAGCGACTTTTATTCTTTGTATACCGGGACAGGGAGGCTGGCGTGATTCTGCCACAGTGCAAGCGCAGATAGAGACAATCCAGGGGAAGCCTCTCCTTCCACCGTGTGGGTCCTGGGGGTAGAACGCATGTTGTCTTCTGTACCTTTACCCGCTGAGCCATCTCGCTGGCCCAGATCTAGTGGTTTATGAGTTTAGAGAGTCCGTATCTTGCCCCATTTCATAGTCTGAAAAATGGCTTTTTTTTTTTTTTTCCCTGAGAAAGGGCTTCTGTAGCCTTGGCTATCCTAGAACTCTGTAGACCAGGCTGGCCTTGAACTCACAGAGATTCACCTGCCTCTGCCTCCAGAGTGCTGGGATCAAAGGTGCGTGCCACCACCACCCAGTGAAAAACAGCTTCTTAGCTTTTTTTGTGTCCAGTACAATTCACCCATTTTAAAGTTAACTCATTATAATTTTGCTAGTTTTTACAAATGGGCAATTATGGAATCACTACTGAAATCACGCAGAATATTTCTGTTAGTCCAGAAAGTTTGTGCCTTTTGCAGCTGCTGCCAAGGACTGGCTCCTGACAACTCCTGCGCTGCTTCTGTCTCGTTTTCCCTTACTAACACCTTCTACGTTAGAATCCTGTGGGTGTGCCCTTCACCCTAGCCTTTTTCTCTTGATGTTGTTGGTTTCCGGGGGGGGGGGGGGGGGGGGGGGGGGGGGAGCGCGGGGAGCTGAGTTTTCTCTCTTATTGGTTTTGTTTTTAAGTACCAAGGGATAAAACCCATTCCAGAAAGCCTGTCTTTTGCAGCCCAACATAATACTTTTTTACACTTGTTTTTGTTTGTTTGGTTTGTTGGTTGATTTTGGTTTTTTGAGACAGGGTTTCTCTGTGTAGCCCTGGCTGTCCTGGAACTCCCTCTGTAGACCAGGCTGGCCTCAAACTCAGAGATCCACCTGCCTCTGCCTCCCGAGTGCTGGACTAAAGGTGTGCGCCACACGTTTTGTTTTCCACAGTAGCTCTTCAAATTATTTCCAGCTCTTGGTTCTTTTTATGAGTAAAGTTGCTGCAGCTGTTCACAAGTCTGTCTGGACATTTATTTTCATTTCTCTTGGATAAACACCTAAGAGTGGGATTTCTGGGTTATCTCATAAATCTATGGGTCTCTTTATAAAAACTGCAAACCATTTCCTAAAGTGATGGTACTGCTTCGCAATCCTAGCAGCAGTGGATGAGAATTTCAGTTGCTTAATGTTCTCATCAGTACTTAGTGTTTTAAGTTTTTTAACTTCAGCTCTCCTAACACCAGGCATGGTTGTGCATGCCTGTACTCTCAGCCTTTGAAAGGGGATGCAAGAGGATTGGAATTACAAGGCCATCCTCAGTTATTATATATCAAATTGGAAGCCAGCCTGGGCTACATAAGAGCCAATCTCAAAAAACTGTCCAAGAGATGAAGCCCTTCTAATAAATAGGTCAGCAGAACTTTGGTGTGGCTTCACTCCCCTTCCATGAATGCTGATGATGATAATTATTTTGTGTGTGTATCTGGTTTTTGGTGCAACGTATCCTCAGGTCTTTTGACTTCTTGCTATGCGTTGTAACAGTTCCTTATAATGTTTTCCCAGAGTATATGTCAGTATATAACCCGTCTTTTCATTTCCTTAATGTTTCATATTTCAGTAAATTCTCAGTTAAGTATTTTTTCCTTTTGCCACTGTTACTTTTCCGTCTCATCTAGGATTTTATCCTATATTTTCTAGAAGATTTTTTTTTTTCTAGAAGATTTTTTTAATCCATTTTGAGCAGTTAAGTGTATAACTCAAGCCAGGCTCAGACTCTTGGTTGTCCTGTCTCAGCCTCCTAAGTACTGGGTTTGCAGGCATGTATCATCACACTCCGCCTACGGTTTTCCTGAACTAAGGTATGGTGAATCACTTTCAGTTAATTTTTTTTTTTTTTTTTATTTACAAAAAAAATTTTATTTACCTTTGTATGTATGGGTATTTTGCCTGCATGTATGTCTGTGCACCACATATGTGTTATGGGCTGTTATTTTACTTTTTTGGCTCTATACTTTTTGGGGGGGCCACCACCCACCCCTCAAATAAATAATACACACAGAAACTTATTATTTCTTATGAATGCCGGGCCTTAGCTTGGCTTGTTTTTGCCAGCTCTCCTTAACTTGTCCTGTCTACCTTTTGCCTCTGGGCTTTTTCCTTTTCTTACTTCTGTGTATCTTACTTTCACTCTTACTCCATGGCTGGCTGTGCGGCTGGGTGGCTGGGTGGCTGTGCGGCTGTGCGGCTGTGCGGCTGGGTGGCTGGGTGGCTGGGTGGCTGGCCCCTAGCGTCCTCCTCTCCTTGTTCTTGATCCTTCTTCTGATTTCTCCTATTTATCCTCTCTGCTTGCCAGCCCCACCTATCCTCTCTCTTGCCTCACTGTTGACTATTCAGCTCTTTATTAGACCAATCAGGTGTTTAACACAGGCAAAGTACACAGCTTCACAGAGTTAAACAAATGCAACATAAAGGAATGCAGCACAATTTTGCATCATTAAAAGATGGGTGGTGGTGGTGCATGCCTTTTAATCCCAGAACTCGGGAGGCAGAGGCAGGCGGATCTCTGTGAGTTCGAGGCCAGCCTGGTCTACAGAGTGAGTTCCAGGACAGGCTCCAAAACTACACAGAGAAACCCTGTCTCAAAAAAAAAAAGAAAGAAAAAAGAAAAGAAAAAAAAAAAAGGTAACGTTCCACAGCATAATCAGCTGTAATACATCGTAAATAATATTCCACAACACATGTGTCTGGTTCCTGCAGATGAGGGTCAGATGAGGGTGCTGGGTCCTGAGACGAGGGTTACAGACTCCTCGTGAGTGCTGTGAATCCAGCCTGGGTCCTCTTGAAGTGCAGCTCCTCTTCACTAAGGAGCTCTCTCTGGCACCGAGTTAGTCTTTGTTTCATTTGAAGAAAGAAGGGAGACAAATATTATCTGTGGATATCCAGTTGGTTCAGACCGTTTATTAAAAGATTATTCCCAGTTGAATTACTTTGATAAATATGTCAAAAATCAATATACCATATCTATGTGGTTTGTTTCTGGACTCTGTTTTGTCTCTCTGTTCTGTGTGTCTATACTTAGGTCCAATACCACAATCTTTAATAGGATAGTGATCTCCAATTACCTTTCATTGGTTTAGCTATTCTGGGTCTTTTTTTTTTTTTTTTTTTTTGCCTATACAGTTTCTACAAATAGTCAACTTGGATTTTAATTCACTATTTCACAAAAATTGTCAATGTTAATCTTTTCCATGTTTTATTGAACTCACATCAGTTTGGAGATAATTTATGCCTTTATAATAATGAGTCTTTTAGAACACATGTGATTTGTTACTTTTTTGAACCTTTAAGCATTATTTTCTTGAATTTTATACATATCTTGAACATTTTGTTGAATTTATTCATATTTCTGATACTATTAAGTGGTATTTTAAATCTCAATTTCTAGCTGTGTTGTTGACAATCAAGATTGTAATTAATTTTCACATACTGACTTTATATTCCATTCATTATTTAGCTAAATTTTGCCCTAGTAAATCTTTTTGTACATCCTTTAAATTTTTCATTGAATAATGACCATTTTGTCTACAGAGACAGCATCACTGTGTCTTTCTCACACTGTAAACTTCCCTCTTTTCTTGCATTATTGTAATGGGTAACATGGGAAAAGAAACGGAGAATTTTCTCTTACCTTTTTTCTCCCTGGTGGTTTTGCCACGGGGTCTCACTAAGTAGCTCAGGCTGATCCTGAACAGTAATCTTGTCTTTCAGCTTCTGAGCACTGGGGTTATAGCTATGTGCTGTCTCTCCAACTTTTTCTTTCTTTTTTAAAATCAGTCTTGCCATCTTGTCCCAGCTTGTTCTGTTCCTAGTTCGACCTCCTTAGCTGGACTGGAAAGACTTGCCAGCACCCATGCTTGTTATTAGTGTTATTAGTGCTGGGTAATCTGATCGACTGAGGGGTTGGTGATAGCTTTTTTTTTTTTTTTTCCTGTGAATGTGGTGAGTTACTTGTACTGATTTCCAAATACTAAACCAATCTTGCTTTTCTAGGCTGAGCCCTATTTCTTCGTGATAAATTATTTTTGTTTGTACATTGCTGGTTTTAATTTCCTAAAATTTTGTTCAGAATGTGCAACAGACCCAGTATAGTAGCACACGCCTGTAATCCCAGCACTCAGGAGGCACAGGCAGGCTGATGGCTGTGAGTTCCAGGCCAGCCTGGTCTAGTTCCAGAGTTCCAGAGTTCCACAGCCAGAGCTACTTCTAACATCTTTGTGTGGTTTTGGCATCTAAACTAGTTTGATTTGTGTCCATATTTTCTAGTGAGGCACTGGAGGCATTTTTTTAAGTTACTCTTTTTTGTTCCCTATAAGGTCATTTCCCACTAATTTAGATTATCTATGCAAGAAGACACTTCTTCCTATAGCACAGCTTCCCGTTTCCCTCTCTGTTCAGCATGGTCAGAAGAAGGGACCGGAGCAGGAGGGCAGTCTTCTGAAGCTCAGGCTCTGTGACAGAGAAGGCGCAGCTCTTGGAGAGTAGTAATCATGTCCGTTTGCGTCCTTCTGTGCCAAAATGTGCTGTACGTTAGCATGCTTCATACTCACAACACTAACGTAAGGTAGATAGATAGCAGTCAACTCTGAACAGAAGACAACTTCATAGTTTATATGTGAAACTTGGTCATATATTCTTAATTATCCTCGGCCACAGAAATATTCCGACTGTGACTTAGTATAAATAGTCTTGCTCTGAACCAGCTGTGCTGGTTCATGCCTTAGAGCTCAGGAGGCTGAAGCAGGAGTATGGCACAAGTCGGAGGCCCACTTGGCCCATAGAGTGAGACCCTGTCTCAGAAACCAAACAAAGAAAACAGTGCTGGCCTCAGTGGCGCACACCTTTAATCCCAGCACTTGGGACACAGAGGCAGGGAGATCACAATGAGGCCAGCCTGGTCTAAAGTGGGTTCCAGGACAGCCAGGCTACATAATGAGACTCTGTCTCAAAAAAACAAAAACCACAAGAACAAAAAATACTAATGTAGCATTTCAGTATTTAAGAAAGAAGAAAATCGGCCGGGCGGTGGTGGCGCACGCCTTTAGTCCCAGCACTCGGGAGGCAGAGCCAGGCGGATCTCTGTGAGTTCGAGGCCAGCCTGGGCTACCAAGTGAGTCCCAGGAAAGGCGCAAAGCTACACAGAGAAACCCTGTCTTGAAAAACCAAAAAAAAAAAGAAAAAAGAAAATCAAATGTATTTGGCTCAGTGAATTAACAAGAATTGCATGTGATTATCATTTTTCTTCTCTTTTTCAGCAATGAGGCTTGGAGATACATGGGTGGCTTTGCAGAAAATGTCTCCTTCATGAGCGTGTTTTGCAAAGGGTTCAAATGGGGATTTGCTGCATTTGTGGTGGCTCTAGGGGCTGAATATTTGCTGGCCTCCCCGAATGATGATAAGAAGCATCACTGAAGACAGCATCTGGAATTATCTTGTGACTTCTATCTCGTAAACCTAAGATTTCCTCACTCTAGCATCCTTGACTATATATATGATTGTCCTTGAAAGAATGGTTTAATAAAGTAAGGAAAAACTTTGTTTTGTTTTGTAACTCTTAAATAAAATTAGAAAGAAAAATTTAATGTATGTATCTATAATCCCAGCACTTGGAAAGCTGAGGAGGAAGGATCATGAATTCAAAGCTAGCTTAAGCTACATAGTGAGGCTGTCTCAAAAAATAAATAAGATAAATATGCACATATATACATTTATATATATATATATATATATATATATATATATATATATATATATATTAGATTTTGTTTGGAATGGTGGGTATTGGATGTATTCTGCGTGTAACAGGCAGCCACTAAATCTAACCTAAGAAATGGATGTGTTCTAAGAGGGCTTTTTTTTTAAATGACTTGAATCCAGTTAGCCTGTATGTGCATAGATGTGGAGTTGTCTACTGGAGCTTAGCACAATTTTCCAGCAGCACACAACACCACCCCTCCCTTACCCCAAAAACATGACTCTCTCGCCAAGTAAGCCATCGGTGGCTAATACTTTCTTGGCTACAGTTAGGGCCCCCCAGTGTCCAGGATGGAATGGTGGCTGAGTCTTGCAGGTAACCACAGTGCAGCAGCCATGTCACACCCAGAAGACAGCATTTCATGGCACTCTTTGCTGTCCTACTCCTACATTCCTTCTGTCCCCTCTCTGTGATACTCCCTGAGTCTGTCTGTCTGTCTGTCTGTCTGTCTGTATGTCTGTGGAGTGTTTGATAGAGATGTCCCGTTCAGTCCTGAGCACTCAACAGTTATTTATTCTCAGCATTTTGACCAATTAGTAGTCTTTATATTGGTTGCTGCTGGCTACAAAGAAAGCTCTGGCCCAGGTTGAGAGGGAAGATAATCTGTGAGTACAAGCATAAATATTTAAAAGGCAGTTGGACTAAGTGACCATTGAGCAAAACAGTGGTAGGAAGTTCTCTCCTGGGGCCTGGGACCTCCTGAGCCATGGACTTGGCCGGGCTTGCCGTCCCAAGCCTGAATTCCCTCCTGTGGAGCAGACCTCAAATCCAGACAAAGTGATTGGATAGCAGTGGCCACATCTTGCTTGGCAGGTCCATCTCCTAGCATGTAGGGTCCGGTTCTGGGTAGGACCACTCTCTTTGCCCCTCAGCTATCTGCCTCCAGGTTTTAAAATTGGAGTTGGTCTTGCTGTTTGGAGGGACATACCCCCATCCATTTTCTGGTTGATGATCCCTATGCGTCATGTTCATTTTCTGCATTAATCCTATTTTCTTAATCCTCACTGTTGCCATGCTGAGAAAAACCTTGACACTTTTTAATAAATTGGACATTTTCGCCATGTTAAATCTTTAAGTCACTAGTTAAGATTAAGAGGCTGGAAAGAGCTCAGCAGTGGTGGCGCATGCCTTTAATTCCAGCACTTAGGAGACAGAGGCAGGTGGATCTGAGTTCAAGACCAACCTGATCTATAAAGTGAGTTCCAGGACAGCCAGAGGTATACAGAGAAACGCTGTCTTGAAACGTAACAACAAAAGAGGCTGGCTGGAGAGATGGCTCAGCAGTTAGGATCTTTGGCTGCTCTTCCAGAGGACCTGGGTGTAAGTCCCAGCACCCATATGGTGTCTCAACTCCAGATACAGGAGGTTCAATACCCTCTTCTGCCCTGTGGGCACCAGGCATGCACATGGTACACAGACATACATGCCAGCAAAACACCCAAACATTAAAAAAAAAAATTGTTAAAAAAAAAAGATTTAAAATGGTTTATTGAGAAGATACATTCTTTTCTTGAGTACTCAAGCTAATTAAAGTCAGAATGAGCAATCCTAAATGAGGCAGAATTTCTAATAAAATTCAAATGGTAAAATGTAATGATTAGACACTGCAGTTAAGGGAGCTGGAGAGATGGCTCAGCAGTTAAGAGTACTGGCTGCTCTTCCAGGGGACCTGAGTTCAATTCCCATCGCCCACATGGCAGCTCACAACCATCTGTAACTCCAGTTCCAGGGGATCTGACACCCTCACACAGACACATGCAACAAAACACCAATGAACACAAAATAAATCATTAAAAAAAAGAAAGAAACTGGAGTTAATTGCTGGCACAGTTGCTTTGTTGGTGATGGCTTTCTTGTTTATAGAAGGTGGATTCTTGTACTGGGGGTGGGGGGGAATGTGTTCACTCTGGCCTTTTCTTAATAAGGAACTAATTCCATTCATGACAGCTCTGCCCTCATCAGCTAATCTCCCAAAGGCCTCTGCCTCTAAATACTGAATGAAAAAAAAAAAAATTAAAAAGAAAGGACATGACTGGTACCAGGTTTTGGCACCAGATGAATGAAAAAAAAGAAAAAGGAAATTCAGACATGACTCTTCCTAGGTATGATGAAGAAGAAAGTTTATTGTAGATACAAGGGAGGCATAGCCACAGGCAGGGACGTCTGGGAGAGTCCAGAGTGGACATGATCAGATGTCCCTGCCTCTGGCTCTTCTCTCCCATTTTCCCAGGGTTTGAGACTTAATACCATCACAGTGGAATTAAGTGTCAACATATTTTTAGGGGGACACAGACATTCAGCCCACTGCATATTGATTAGGATAACTAACAGCAATGATTATTTTCAAGAAACCAACTTTTGTCTTTGAAGTTCTTGTCTCTAATGTTTGGGCTTGATTGACTGTACAGCAAGGCCCCAGGGTCCGGTCTGTCTCTGGCCTACTTTAAACATGTTGCTAAGAACAATAGATTGGATTTACTTAAGAAAATACATTTGTTAGCCATGCGGCGGTGGCGCTTTAATCCCAGCACTCGGGAGGCAGAGCCAGGCAGATCTCTATGAGTTCGAGGCCAGCCTAGTCTACAGAGAGAGATCCAGGACAGGTACCAAAACTACATGGAGAAACCCTGTCTCGAAAAACAAAAACAAAAATACATTTGTTGATTTAATATTCTAATTATCAATATAATCTGCTGGGTTGATTTTGACCATCGTATCCTTGATAAAAGATAATTATAACACAAGAAATATAAATTTGCATTGTATTATCTGAACGTTAATGAGTGAATCATTTTACATGATGAATACGTCACAATTTGAGATTTAAGTAATGAACTGTTATTTGACTTAATGAAAATGTGTAATGTCTAAACATTACACAATGCAAATGTATCAAAACATTGCATAGCACTCATGAATTTGTATAATGTTGATGTTTCTATCACTTAAACTTATAATTTAATTTAAAAATTACATTAGACGGAAAAATACAGTGCAGAGAATACAGGGGAAGAAATAAACACTGGAGTCCCTAGAAATAAGATGATTAACTCCTTGATAATTACATTGATAGTACGTAGTCCAGAGTTAATTGATTAAGACAAGGACTCCCTGTAATCCAGGCTCCCCTCGGACTCACAGAGATCTACCAATTAAGGCTGGGCGGTGGTGGCGCACACTTTGAATCCCAGCACTCGGAAGGCAGAGGCAGGCAGATCTCTGTGAGTTCGAGGCCAGCCTGGTCTACAGAGCGAGATCCAGGAAAGGTGCAAAGCTACACAGAGAAACCCTGTCTCGAGAAACTAAAACAAAACAAAACAAAACAAAACATGCCAATTAAAAGATCAATTCTGGACTGGGACGATGACGCAATTGGTACAGTGCTTGCTGCACAGGCTTGAGGACCTGAGTTTGGATATCCGGCACCCAAGAAAAAACGGGCACGGTGATGCATGTTCGTTACCCAGTGCTGGGGATGGGATGGATCCCGGGGCCTCGCTGGCCAGCCAGTCCCGCCCAGACAGTAAGCTCCAGCTCCAATGAGAGACCCTGTCTCAAAAAAGTAAATAAATAATGTAGAGCGATAGTGGGAGACCCCAACCTCTGGCCTCCAAGTGTACATGTGTGGGTACATACATCAACGCACAGGTGTGCATACACACACACACACAAGACAAGTGGCTCTGAGCACAGTGCTGTGTTGCCGTGCGTGTAGCCACTTGAGAGGAGGAAGCAGGGATAGAGTGAGCTGGAAGCCAGCCTTGGGAATGGAAGGAGACACTGAAAAAAAAAAAAAAAAAAAAAAGACAGACCGCCTTCAAAGGTACTGGTCCCTATATAATCTTAAATACCCATGCCGAGCTTCAAAAGGGCTGCAGCTGATTGAGCCGGGCAGAAGGGAAGAGAGCCACGGCGGCCGCCGCTAACACTCCCTTGTCCGTAACCGATAGAACAAGCAGAAAACAGGGCTACAGAAGTCCTGAGCAACACTAGCGCCCAGCTTGATGTAATATTTATAGAACCCTGGGACAAAAGCAGAGCACTCATTCCCAGAGCATGAGGACGTTTACCATAACTGATTAGATTCCAGGCCGTGAAACCAGGCTCAGTAAAGATGATTGGAGTCACGTGCAGCTCTGCAAAAACGAACAAAAAGCCAAAGCTGAAATCATACAATATATACTCTCACACTACATAGAAATTCGACTAATAATTAACCTCTGAAAACCTGCCTGTGGTTTGGAAATTGACAATGAAAATACCAAATTGCTCAAAAAAAAGAAGTAGTTTTAGTTAGCTTCTTTGTTGCTGTGATAAAACATAGACAGAAAAAAAAAAAAAAAAAAAAACTTGGGCAGGAAAGGGCTTATTTCATCTTCTAGTTCCAGGTAACAGTTCATCACTGAGGGAAATCAGGTCAGGAACTGAAGGGAGGAGCCAGGAACTGAAGCAGAGGCCATGGAGAACATGGTTTACTCCCCATGGCTTGCTCGGCTTTCTTTCTTTTCCTTTTTCTTCTTTCTTTCTTGTTTTTGTTTTTGTTTTTGTTTTTTTCAAGACAGGGTTTCTCTGTGTAGCTTTGCGCCTTTCCTGGAACTCACTTGGTAGCCCAGGCTGGCCTCGAACTCACAGAGATCCGCCTGGCTCTGCCTCCCGAGTGCTGGGACTAAAGGCGTGCGCCGCCACCGCCCGGCAACGGCTTGCTTTCTTATACAACCAAGGACCACCAGCCCAGGGCGGCACCACCCACAGTGAAGATACCCACCCACATCAATCATCAA